CTGAGCTCTGCGGAACGGAGCCATTCTCAAAGGAAGCATCCTGGGCTGCCCCCAAGCAGACGCTTTTTTGTGGGGCTTCTGCCTTCAGATTGCCACACCAGAAGCTCTGATCAGTGATCCACCTGCATTCATTTCCCTGCAGAATGAAGCCTTTAAGAAAAGCCTGGATCCTGAGTTCCCTGCAGGCCTGGCCATCTCTCCCCACCCTGCCCTCCTCCCTCTGCCCCACCGGACCCTCAGACATCCACGCTCAGTCCCCACCCTGCAAACCTTGACAGTGGCCTTGCCACTTCCTCTCCGTTGCCCTCATGCCTACGCAGCCTCCCACACAGCTCAGCCTTCTCAAACTGGAACATTGTTGGCCCTTCTCGTGGGCACCAAGCTTCCCTTTCTGTCTGTGAGTGGGGCATCACCCCACCCCCCAAGTCACTCCTTCTTTGGCCCCTGGAGCCACAAGGGCTTGGACAGCTGAGCACCAGGCCCTGTGATCGGTTCTGCCCTTCTCCCCTCCCCTGCCCGCCCCACCGCTCCCACCTCTGCCAGCAACTTGCTCCCCGAAACAGGGAAACCGCCCCCAGCACCTTCCCTGCCCTGCATTCCCCCAAGGCTTTATCATACCCTCTCCCTGTCTGTTCACCCCTCCAGGGTGTTGGGTACTTCATGGAGAAGGGGCACCCCAAGGCCCTGAGCGGGGTGTGTTCTTTGTCTTAATCTGGGTTGTGGACACACAGGAGGCCCAGGGGGGACCCCAGTGAGTCACAGACTCCATGCACCGTGCATCCTTTCCTCTATATATTGGAAATAAAGCCCCGATTCATGCCGCCATGAGAATGAACCCCAAAAACATCCTTCTAAGTGAAGGAAGCAAGACAAAAGGCCACATACTGTATGCTCCCACTTAGGCAAAATATCACACACAGGCAAATCCATAGTGACAGAAAGCAGACTGGTGGCTGCCAGGGGCTGGGGGAGGCAGGTGGGGGGATGGGGAGTGACAGCTGATGGGGGTCTCTTTTTGGGGTGATGGAAATGTTCTGGAACTAAACGGAGGTGATGGTTACACAACATTGTGAATGTACTAAATGCCACTGAACTGTTTATTTTTAAATGGTTAATTGTATGTTATGCCAGTTTCACCCCAATCAAAAAATTTGTTGTGAGGGGCGCCTGGGTGGCTCAGTCGTTAAGCGTCTGCCTTAGGCTCAGGTCATGATCCCAGGGTCCTGGGATCAAGCTCCAGATGGGGCTCCCTGCTCGGCAGGGAGCCTGCTTCTCCCTCTCCCACTCCCCCTGCTTTGTTCCCTCTCTTGCTGTCTCTCTCTGTCAAATAAATAAATAAAATCTTTAAAAAAAAAAAAAACTGTGTTGTGAACCGGCTTGTCCTCTCACAGAATCGCAGGACCCCTCCAGGCCAGGACCTGTCTCCACATCTGCTCCCTCTCAATCAGCCTCCTCTTCCCCTGGGGCCCAGAGCCCTCATCAGCTTAGGGCCCAGCAAACTTCTTCTGGAAAGGGCCAGACAGTGAATATGTTCAGCTTTGCAGGCCAGAACGGTCTCTATCATGGTTATTCTGCTGCTAGAGTGAGAAAGCAGCCATGGGCGATCCATAAATGCACAGGCTTGGCTGCGTGCCAGTAAAACTTCGTTTATGGACACTGAAATGTGAATAGAATTTTCATGTGTCAGGAAGTACTATTCTTGTTTTTTGGGTTTTTTTTGTTTTTTTTTTTTTTGAACGATTTACAAATGTAAAAACCACTCTTGGCTCACAGGCAATACAAAAATAAGCAGTGGACTGGATTTCAGCCCATGGGCCAGAGTTCACCCTCCGAACAATTATAACGGAAAAAGAATGCCGTTGATTAGCATTTTTCATGTCTGAGGCTTAAAGCTTGAACCCCTCACACAACCCAAACACAGAGGTAATAAAGTATGTTGGCACACACCTGGGCTACACGCCTTTGTGTTTACCAGGCTCATCAGGGCCACTGGCTGACTTCAGGCAAATGAGTGTCCGTGATGCCCAGGGGGACTTCCAAGGCTCCAGGCTGCGGCGTGTAGAAATTTCATCCTCACGACCTGAAAACCTGCTCTTGTTTTCCCCACAGGCTTTCGGAAATGCCAAAACGGCCCACAACAACAACTCCAGCCGATTTGGGAAATTCATCCAGGTCAACTACCTGGAGAGTGGCATCGTGAGAGGGTGAGTTGGCAGCCGCCTAGCTGTGGGTCACCAGCCTTGGTCCTGGGGTCCTGGGCATCCCTGCGAGGAGGAGCCAGCCTGGGAGCTCAGTGTGGAAATTGTGGCTCTGCAGATATGTGTGAATTGTACAGGGAAGCAAGTGTGGGTTTTATTTAAGTCAGTGATGTGAAGATCTGAGTTGTGGGTCAAAGTGGGAAACGTAAGTGTGGGAGGGGCGGGACCTCTGTCCCCAGGTCATCGAGCCTAGGCCCAGGTGCCCAAGAAGCAAGTACAACGACCTGAAGGTGCTAGCGTGATGGAGTTTGCCAAGAACAGGCAAGGACATACCAACCTATGTCTTGGTCTTGATGAGGTTTCAAATTCAGTGGGTCTGGGGATGCCATAGGCAGAGTTGATGTGGACTGTGGCAGTTGCCAAACATGTGCCCCTTCAGCCAGGAGAAGACATAAGGCTGGGTAGCAGAAATGAAGTGGTTGTCCAAGGAAGTACTGAAGGTAAGCAGATGGGTGAATGGGAGGGAGGGAGGATAGATAGATTAATGGATGGAATTGTGGGTGGGTAGGTGGATGGATGGATGGATTCATGGGTGGGTGGGTAGATGGATGGATTCATGGGTGGGTGAGTAGATAGATGAATAAATTCATGGACTGGGTGGGTAGGTGGATAGATTCATTGCTAGATGGGAAAATTCATAGATGGATGAATTCGTAGATTGATGGATCCATGGATGGATGAATGGATTAGGTAGATGTGTGAGTGGGTAGGTGGTAACTGGATTGTGAAGTTGATTGGTGAAAGTTAAAACAGACCAGCACTTTGTGCCAGAAACGTGAGTTCCTTAGGTGGAGGCACGGTCACTTCAACTAAATGTATAACATTGAAATTGTGTTTGTTACTCTGTGCAGTAGTTATGCTTAAGAAAATGGCAGCTTTGTGAAGTGAATTAATGTTACAAGGAATTACCTATTTTGTCATAGTATTTAAGTCAATGTCATTTTCAGAATTCGGTTCTGTAGCATTTCTTTCTCTTTAAAAAGTATATATTCTGGGTAGTTACAGTTTGGTTAAAAAATGTAATTATGGTTTAAGACTGCATAATGTATTGGGTATTTTTTTTTTAATACACAAAGGTCTTATGAGCCAATGAAACTCTTTCAGAGTTGGGACACCTGGGTGGCTCAGTTGGTTAAGCCACTGTCTTCGGCTCAGGTCATGATCCCAGGGTCCTGGGATCGAGCCCCACGTTGGGCTCCCTGCTCTGCGGGGAGCCTCCTTCTCCCTCTCCTTCTGTCTGCTACTCCTCCTACTTGTTCTCTCTCGCTCTCTAAATAAAATCTTTAAAACAAAACAAAACTCTTTCAGAGTTAAAAAAAAAAAAAAAGAAGGCATCTTGGCATAGTCTGGGGCTGCTCAAAGGGATCATCCCTGCCTCCACATTCTGGTGGGAGGGTCTGTGGTAGAAGCAGGATTTATACCAGTTCCAGGTGATCCTCTGAGCAGCCCAAATGTTCGACATGGGGAAGAGACCTGAGCAACAGGGCTAGAGTCCTAGAGAAGGCTCCAGCATTTCAGGAATGGAGAAGTCCTCCACTGGCGGGGCCTAGGGATTGAGTCTAAAGTATGTCAGTTCCTCTGTCCATCTTACCTGACTGATGATCATTTCAAATGACAAATCATATTCAAGACACAAATTGGAATGTTGTTTTCTCAAATCCTTCAGCCTCTGGCATCTTTCCTTTTTCCCAATGCCCAGGCTGCAATGGGCAGTGGTCTGGGGGAGAGACCCCACAATAAATGGCAATTCTGCTCCGGCCCCTCAGCCCCCCATAGACCATCCAGCCGTCCCCCCAGCTCAGTGCTGCTGGGCACCTGCATGGGCCCGGCCACCCCCTGTCCCTGTTGCGGGGCCTCTGACCAGCAGGAGATGCCCAGAGTATCTTGTCAGGCACAGGACACAGAATTATACCCCATCTACAGTTCTGGGGGCTCCCTCAGGGGTGCAGAGATGCCAGAAGGCTGCCTCATGTTTTCCTGGGTCCCGGGCTGGCTCTGCAGCCATGGGCCAGACGGGGGAGTCTTTGCTCCCAGCTTGCTCCTCTGTGTGGTCTGTTTGGTGTCCTAGGGCTGCCAGAACAAAGTGCCACAAACCGGGGGGCTCAGAACAACAGGAATTTATTGGCTCACAGTGCTAGAGGTTGGAAGCCTGCAATCAAGACGTAGGCAGGACAGCGCTTCCCCCCCTGGAGGCTCCAGGAGAGGATTCTTCGTGCCCTTTTGCAGCTTCTGGTGACCCCAGGCTTTCCTTGGCTTATGGCCATATCACCCCAATCTCTGCTTCCACCATCACGTGGTCTTCTCCTCTGTGTCTCGGTGTTCTCTTCTACTTCTTAGGACTTTGTCCTTGGATTTAGGGTCCACCCTGATCTTGGAGGATGATCATATCTCCAGATGCCTTCCCTTAATTACATCTCCAAAGACCCTTTTTCCAAATAAGGTCACACTCGCATCTTCTGGGGGCCACCGCGTGACCCAGTGTGCCAGCAGGGGTCGGCCCTCAGCTATCCAGTGCAGCCTGTTCTGCCGGCCATCAAGCTCTGGGCCAGAGCTCTAGGTGGCTGAGTCTTATAGACCAACTTTTGAAAGTCCTCTATCTGTGGCCTCAGACTCAGGAAAGGAAGTCCCACCTCAGCCCATGACCGTGGACTGCCCACTCTCCGAGGGGGAGGTGCACTTCCTGTCCCGGGAGTGGCCACAGCCAGCTGGGGAAGAGCAGGCCCAGACCCGGTTCTGCTTTTGGGGAGGTGACACTTCTCAGTGCCATTTCCTGTGGAGGCCAAGGGTCAGGGGCAGTCCAAGCCTTCCTTCAGTTCCCCAATTTGCAAGGCCTCGTCTTCCTGTGGGTTCAGTGGCTTAGTGTTGGGGGATCTCTGGCCCCCCTACGAACCCCAATAGGGGCCGGGGCCTTAAAAACGATCAGGGAAAGGCGTCATCAAATGGCAGCTCGATGCCAGTAAGGGGTCACTGTCCTTCCCCTCCCCCCCCCACCGCTGATACACAGGGAATTGGCCACAGGTGGAGATTCTAACAGGAGTCTGATTCTAGAAACAGATGCGGCCTCCCTCCCTAGGAGAACAAGCCACCAATAACTAAAATAGTTACTAGCAGGGGGAAGGAATAGAAAAAAACATACGAGTTTGGAAGCAGAGCGGACACCGGCTGAGTCTGTGGACACCCGCCCGTGCCTGTTTTGTGTGCATGTGTCCCAGGCAAGACTGCAGAAAGGAGACTGCCGTCCTGGAGAGAGAGAGAGGCAGGCGGCATCCAGCAAGCCCCAGACCAGGGGCCCAGTGCTATCCCCCAGGTCTGCCCCCCACCCCTCGGGCACCAGCTGCCCCTCCTATAAAACCAGATGCACTCAAATGAGGGTGGCCTGCAAAGCCATCCAGCTCCCACACTTTGTGGAACCCATGAAAGCCCAGCCCCTCCAGCCCCAGTGGGTGTGGAGGGAGCAGGGCCAATGCCTGGTTCGGGTCCCCACCAGGCCACTTCCCTCCCGTGGGGTCCTAGGCAGCAGGTGGCCCCTTCAATTTTCAGTATCTCATCTTTCGATGGGAGCCACAGTGCCCACCCCCAGGTGGAAGGATTCAGGGCATTTAATTCCTGAGAAGGCACTAGGTGCTCAAGGAATAGTCACCATTACTACTGCTAGCATTGAGAGTGTGGCTGGAGAGGTCCCTGGCCCCTGGCCCAGAGGCCATCCAGTCTTGTGGACCCCTGACCATCAAACATCCGTCATCGGATGAACGGGTCGACAGATGTGCTGTGTCCAGCCACGAGAAGGAACAGAGTTCCGATACACGCTACGATGTGGCTAAATCGCAGAGTTCTCGGGCTGAGTGACAAGGCAGACACAGTATATATGTCAAAGGATTATATTTCTTTAAAATTCTAGACAATGCAAACTAATCTATAGTGGGGCTGATCAGTGGCCACTTGGGGGTGGGAGGCAGGGAGGGGTGACCAAGGGCCCAGGAAACTGGGTCATGGTGGTGGGCACACAGGTGTCTGCATGTGTCACAACTCATCAGTTCACACGCTTCTAGTTTACTGTACGTCAGTGGCAGCTAGTAAAGCTGGTGGAACAAAATAGGAAAGGACCCAGTCAAGACTCACCACGTTGCACACTTTAAGAATGTGTGGTTTAGGGGCGCCTGGGTGGCTCAGTCGTTAAGCATCTGCCTTTGGCTCAGGTCGTGATCCCAGGGTCCTGGGATCGAGCCCTGCACTGGGCTCCCTACTCCGCGGGAAGCCTGCTTCTCCCTCTCCCACTCCCCCTGCTTGTGTTCCCTCTCTCGCTGTCTCTCTCTCTGTCAAATAAATAAATAAAATCTTTAAAAAACAAAAAAACAAAACAAAACAAAAACAAGCACCATATGAGTCTATTTATATGAGGTCTCTAGAGTGGTCAAATCCATAGAGACAGAAGGTGGAATGGTGGGGAGTCTGTGTTTCATGGGGACAGAGGTTCAGTTTGGGAAGATGAACCAGTCCTGGAGATGGATGAGGGGGTTGGCTGCATGCCAGCGTGAATATGCTTAATGTCCCGCAACTGGACAGTTAAAAATGGTTGCAATGGGGCGCCTGGATGGCTCAGTCGTTAAGCGTCTGCCTTCGGTTCAGGTCGTGATCCCAGGGTCCTGGGATCGAGCCCTGCACTGGGCTCCCTACTCCGCGGGAAGCCTGCTTCTCCCTCTCCCACTCCCCCTGCTTGTGTTCCCTCTCTTGCTGTCTCTCTCTCTGTCAAATAAATAAATAAATAAATAAATAAGAATGTGTGGTTTATATCAATAATGAAGCTGTAAAAAAAAAATAGAAAATGAAACTGTTAGCTTATATTTAGATTTTTAATGGGAGAAGCATTAAATTGCTGAGGAGGTGGTAAATGCAGGGGGTGACCTTCTATATTGTCCATGAAAACATGGGTATAATCACTCGGGTTTCCGCTGCCTGAGGGGGTTCCCCCAGGATGCTCCTTGAGCTTTCCGAGCAATGATCAGCCTGTATCTGGTCTGGGGAGCAGAAGTGGCCAACCCGAGTTCCTTATTTTTATGGATGGCAGTCATAGAATAAGGCAACACTTAGGGTGATTTTTAGGGTAGTTATATTTACAACACATAGACTGATTATATTTGCAACATTTAAATTGGTTGTATTTGCGACATTTAGGATGGTTGTATTTCTTTTTTTGTTGTTTTTTTGTTTGGTTTTTTTTTTAGATTTTATTTATTTATTTGAGACAGAGTGTGAGAGCACAAGCAGGAGGTAGGGGCAGAGGCAGAGGGAGAAGCAGACTCCCTTGCTGAGCAGGGACCCTGACTCGGGGCTCGATCCCAGGACCCTGGGATCATGACCTGAGCCGAAGGCAGATGCTTAACTGACCGAGCCACGCAGGCGCCCCATATTTCTAAAGGTGATTTAGGTACCTGTGTTTACCTTGTATCAAAGGAAGTTAATCCACAGCTGGCTTTATTATGGTAACAAATTACTCTAGTTCTTCCAGAAAACTCTTATCAAAATGTTAACATCTTATTCTTTCATCTTTCTTTTAATGACAGAGCTGTTGTCGAAAAATACCTGCTTGAAAAGTCCCGCCTGGTCTCTCAAGAGAAGGATGAGAGGTAGGAGGAAATTTCCTTGGTGACCCACCACATCTGCTTTCTTCCCCACAAAGGAGAGAAGCAGGTGTCCTGGGCCTACGGAGGCCGTGGCTGATGTCCCAGGATCGAGGCTGCTCTGTGGCTGCAAGCTTTGCGCTCATACCTCCTAAACCACCTTTTTTGGGCTTATTTTTGTGCCTGCTCCAGGCTTTTACTCAGAGTAATACCCCCCCATCCACAGACATCTACTCACCAGAGAAGCTCAGAGTTTAGTTTTTAGAATCGACTTATTGTCTCAAATTGGTACATATTTGAGGTGCTTTTTTTCCCTCCAGTGTGGGCTCCAAAGCAATATTAGCAGTGGTTTGAAGAGTAGCTGTCGTGTGGTGTCCAAAAACAAATTTTTTCTCCTCGTTTTGACCCACAGGAACTACCATGTGTTTTATTATTTGTTACTTGGCGTCAGCGAGGAAGAGCGTCAAGAATTTCAGCTCAAGCAGCCTGAAGATTATTTCTACCTCAACCAGGTAAACAGCCCCACGTCCCAGTCACAAACACCGCCTCTGTTCCCCACGGGCTGTTTACGTGCCACCGGGAGGTCAGAGGCTGTCTGCCTGGGCCCTCTCCGGCCCCCAAACCCGACTCCAAAGAGGCCCAGAGAAGGCGGCATAAAGGGGCCCATTCATTCCCCGTGTCCTGAGCCCTGCCCCCTCGGTTCCAGCCAAAATCACTCTTGCACGCCACCCTTGCCAGCCCAGAAATACCCAGAGTGCCCCTGACTTTGTTTTTCAGCATAACTTGAAGATCGAAGATGGAGAAGACCTAAAGCATGACTTTGAGAGACTCAAGCAGGCCATGGAGATGGTGGGCTTCCTCCCAGCCACCAAGAAGCAGTAAGTGGGCGGGCCGGCCATCCCACCTTCTGCATGGACCCCCCCACACACACATCTTACCTAAGGCCCCTCTCTGAGAGCTGACTGACACCCCAGCGGGAGCTAAGACACTAAAGGAGGGCAGACCGATGACCATGAGCTCATGAAAAGCAACATTAGTCATTAGTCACTGGGAGATGTCAAACCACGGGGCTTTTGCCCAACAGCGCAGATGTACCTCACTCTTAAAAATGGTCACGATGGTGAATTTTACATGATATGTATCTTACCATAATTAAAATTTTGAAAAATTTTTTGAAAGCCACCTAGGGTCCTCGCCACACCTGCCCGATGTTTGGTATACCCAGAGGGAACGCCTGCATGCTTCTCGGAGGGCACAGATCGGGGCAGCCCCTTTGGAAAACCGTCTGCAGTTTCTACGAGAGCTGTGTCTGCCCAACACCATGCGTGCATGTGCTGACTCAAAGATATGCACATGGCAGCCTTATTATTTATTGCCAAAAAGTTAGGAACCTCCCCCCACACACACACACACAAATGCTCACCAGCGGGAATTAAATAAAATAACTAAACAAACCGCTTTATATCATGCAGGGCTGGGCAAACTTTCTGTAAAGGGCCAGATAGTCCAGTTTTCAGATTCGGGGGCCAGATGGTCACTGTTGCGTGTTCTTCTCCATGTTTATTTTTTTAACCCCCCCCCCAAAAAAAACTGAAGAACCATTCTTAGCTCCGAGGCTGTCCAGTAATGGGCTATAGAGTCCCACTCCCTGGACTCCACGCACAGCAGTGGTGCTCAGCCAGAGTCACTTCTGCCCCCACGGGACAGCTGGCCATGTCTGGAGACATGTTTGGTCATCATCCTGCATCGGGGAAGGAGGAGAGGGACACAGCTGCTAGCACCTAATGGGCAGGGGCCAGGGGTGCAGCTCGGCGTCCCATAGTGCACTGGGCAGCCCTTCGCAGCAAAGAATGATCCGGCCCCACGAGTCCGTAGGGCAGAGGCTAAGAAATGCTGGCTTGCAGCATTGAGTGTGGCCACACCAGTTCGCGCAGGAACGTGCATTGCACCCCCACGTCACGGTCTTCCAGTGACAGGCCAGATACAAGTACATATGATTTCACTGACACCAAGTTCACGGACAGCGTTAGGATGCGAGGATAGCCATTCCTCTGCAGGAGCTGGGGTGGGTTCCAGTGCCTGGAATGTTCTATTTCTTGCTCTGAGTGCTCATCACAGGGAGGTGTATGTTTTGTGACAGTTTATCAAAATATGCTTAAGAATTGTGTGCTTTTTTTCGTCTGTTTTTTATGCATGGCAGGTTTTTTGGGGGGTTTTTTTTGCATTTTTTTTCATGCATATTAGGCTCCCATAAAAAAATTTTTAAGCACCCCTCTCACCAAAAAAAAAAAAAAAAAACCAAAACCACCCAGGTGAGCCATCTGTCTACAAAATCACATTCCACAAAGGGTCCTCAGCAGTGAGATTGGACTTTTTTTTTTTTTTTTAAGATTTATTTATTTATTTATTTGACAGAGAGAGTGACAGAGAGAGAGGGAACACAAGCAGGGGGAGAGGGAGAGGGAGAAGCAGGCTTCCTCCTGAGCAGAGAGCCTGATGCGGGACTCGATCCCAGGACTCTGGGATATGAACTGAGCTGAAGGCAGACGCTTAACGACTGAGCCACCCAGGCGCCCTGGACCTTTTTTAACTTCATATGTCCGACTGGATTTGGCTGGTTGTATGAATTCAGCCCAAGTGGCTAGAAGCTTCTGTCATCTTACGACTCTGGAAACCACCCCAACCTAGGCTCCTTTGCTCTCCCAGGATTTTTTCCGTCCTCTCAGCCATCCTGTACCTGGGCAACGTCACGTACAAGAAGAGAGCCACAGGCCGAGACGAAGGTCTGGAGGTCGGGCCCCCTGAGGTGCTGGACACGCTGTCCCAGCTCCTGAAGGTATGGCTCCCTGCACTCGGCCATGGTGGCCAGCGAGGACCCAGAACTTCCTGCATGGGCCTTGCGTCTATAAACCGGGGTCTGTCTGCCTGCTTCCTCCCCACAATCTGCTCAACACCTCTTCCTTGGTTCTCTTTATCTTTCTTTCTTTTTTTTTTTTTTAATTGAGGTACAGTTGTCATACAGCCTTATGTTAGTTTCGGCATTATGACAGGATGATCGTCAAATGCAATATTTGTCTATATTGCAAAACGATGACCACAGTAAGTCCTGTTAACATCTGTCACCACACATGGTTACAGAATCGGGTTTTTCTAGTCATAAGAACTTGGAAGATCTACTCTCAGCGACTTGCAGTTACGGCATATGGTATTCTGAACTGAAGTCCCCATGCTGGACATGACATTTCTGGGACTTCTTCATTTTATAACTAGAAGTCTGTTCCTTCTGATCCTCTTTATTACCTGGTTTACCTACCCTCGTCCCCTGCCTCTGGCAACCACCAATCTGTTTTCTGTATCTGTCAGCTTGGTTTAGTTTGGGGGGTTTTGGGAGGGGTTTTTTTTTTGGTTTGGGTGTGTGTGTGAGTGTTTTGGGTTTTGGTTTTTGTTTTTTTGTGGGGTTTTTTTTTTTTTTTTTTGGTTCTTTTAGATTCCACATACCAGTGAGATCATACATGTTTTACTCGGACTTATTTCACTTAGCATAATGCCCTCAAGGGCATCCTATCCCTTCCTCCTTTCTCAAGGACGCCCTCCTGAGCACGGCTGCACCCCCTCTCAGCCCCTCATGTGAAAGGCCCTTTGAAACCATACTTTGATCAGCGAGGTCATGTGCTCATTGGACCTGCCATCCCCTTGTCCACTGGCACTTGTCAACCCTCAGGGGGCACTGGGCAGTGTCTGGAGGCATCTGTGGGTTGTCACAACCCAGAGGAGCTACTGTCATATGGTGGGTGAGGCCAGGGATGCTGCTTAACGTCATATAATGCACAACACAGCTTCCCCACAGCAAAGAATGATCCAGCCCTGAGTGTCCCTGGTGCCAGATCTGAGAAGTCCTGCCCTCATCTTTCTGTTTTCTAAGCATACATTCCACTTGTGGCTCTTCTTAAAGAGCATGTACCTGCGTGCAGGAGCCTGGCTTCTGTTGTGTTTGTGGGGACGAGTAAGCACACCTGCCAGGAGATTTGGGCAGCTTCTCTTGCCCCTACTCTGACTGCCTCTGGCTTGTGGAGCGGGCTTGGCGGTCAGGAGGGAACAGGCCAGGAACCCACTCCAACAGCGACATCTATAAATGCAGGTTGCCAGGCAGTACCCGGGCCCACAGGGACCCCCAGGCCTATGTGACCATCCTCCCAGGGCCATCGACTGAGCTTGTGAGTGTGATGATTCGGAAACACACTGAGCATAGCGCACATCACTCGGTGGGCTTCGGGCCCACTTCCTGGTGCGGCTGCTGGAAGTCCTCCTGGCACTTTTCTCGGGCTTCCAGCCTTACCTCAGGGATGTGAGGACCCGCCCAACAAGCCTTCTCTCCCTCCTTGACCTCGAAACAGGTGAAGCGAGAAATCTTGGTGGAGGTCCTGACCAAAAGAAAAACGGTGACAGCCAATGACAAACTCATCCTTCCCTACAGTCTCAGCGAGGTGAGCGTGGCCCTGGGCTCTTGCGGGGCGCTGCGCTGCAAACCACAAGTTGCGGGGGAGCTCTGGAAACAGCCGGCCTGGATAGCCTTTTCCCTGTCTTGAAAGAGCTGTGACATTGTCTCTGGTTCTCACGTGAGCTTAGGCACAGCTCAGAGCAGCTTCTACAGCACACTTCAGCCCTAGGGCCAGAACTCAGGCCACACGTGTTCTGCTCGGTGTTTCCGTGCTGGTTCTCACTAGCAGGGGATGGCCATCTGCAGCCCGCAGGCCAAATCCAGCCTCCTGCCTGCTTTTGTAAATAAAGTTTTATTGGCACAGCCACGCCCCCCCCTTTTTTTAGGCTGCTTTGCTACTGTATTGGCAGAACTAGGTGATCATGACAGGACCATCTGGCCCTCACAGCTGAACATACTGACCTTCTGGCCTTTAAAGTTTGTTGACCCCCCCCCACCCCAGGCTAGTGCATGACCTTTACAACCATTAAGTGCGTCCCGGGGATCTTGATAGGACACCTCTCTCTGGCCTTTGCCCCAGCCAGGATGTTTTCCTTGTGATGGGTTTTTCTTGCGTTTTTACATCTCAAGAGCAGTGGGCCTCGCAGCTTACAGCTTGGATGGCCACAGGAAAATACCTAGCCATGGCAGGGATTTTTAGCTGGTGGTAGAAACTGCTTGGGCATCTTCAGTGGGCACCGTGTACATTCTGAGCCCCCACAGGGAAAGGTCCCCTGAAACGTTCTGTAAAAGTTGCTATAGGACACCTGAGCCCCCAGCAGCTTGGCTGCCCCTGAGGGGCAGGACGCCGAGGGACAGATGCCAGGTGTGAGGGTTCTGTATCCCTCGGGGCCCCCTTTCCGCAACCTCCCGGGAAAGGCAAAACCAAGACATGTGTTCTTGATCTTAACTGTAGCCAAGCACATCTGTCACAACTTAGATCTGAGTATATAAAGAGAAACAATTTCTTGGATGTAAATTAGACCTCCTTAAGCCTCTTTTTTAATTTAAAAGCCATTACTGCGTTTAATTTAAAAGCCACGATGGCATCTCCACGATGCTCTCAGAGCTGCAAGGGACCTACCTGGCTTCCCACCCAGCTCGGCCTCCTGGCTGGTTCTACCCACGGGCTGGCCCGGCACGCTCCCTGAGCCTGTGTTCCATCCTCAGCGTCCCCAGGTTGCTCTGAGGAATAGGGCTGGCTCGTGAGAAAGACTTCGCTGAACCTTAGGCTGCCGGGCCCGAGCTTCATAGTTCGTGCTTCGGTGTGCAGGGGCATCCCGAGCAGACAGGTGGCGTGCAGAGTGAGAGGGGTTGTGTCCAGTGAGTGGGGTGTTCAAAGTCACAGCCTCGATTTTCCCGGGAGTGCAGATCTCTGGGTGGTGCAGCACAGGGCCCACGTTGTCGAGGTGTGACACTCTCCACCCTGTGCCCGCAGGCTATCACCGCCCGTGACTCCATGGCCAAGTCCCTGTACAGTGCTCTGTTCGACTGGATCGTGTTGCGGATCAACCACGCCCTCCTCAACAAGAAAGACATGGAAGAGTCTGTCTCGGTGAGAGCCCCCACCCCTGTCTGCTCCACCAAGCAGAGCTGGGGAAGGCCAGGCCCTCAGTGTCACACACCCTCGGCAGATGGCCCGTGATGTCGGGAGCCAAGGTGGCTTTGGTTGGTGTCAGGGGAGAGGCCGGTTGCTCCGAGGGGCAGGCCCAGGGAACAGGATGGAGCGCAGTCCTCAGGACCCAGTGCACGGTGAACACACGGAGCCCCTCGTTCACATATTACAGATTCCAAGGCAGTGACAGCAGAGTGTTCAGCTGAGCGCAGAGCCCGCACAACCAAACAGGTCACTTCCACGGAAGCAGTAATAACTGTTTTCTCTGTCTTCCCAGTGCTTGTCCATTGGGGTCCTTGACATATTCGGATTTGAAGACTTCGAGAGGAACAGTTTTGAACAGTTCTGCATCAACTATGCCAACGAGCAGCTTCAGTATTACTTCAATCAGCACATTTTCAAACTAGAACAGGTAAGGAAATGCCATCTTGTTGCCTAGGCAGCCCCAAGGGGGAATGGAATGAGCCGGAACTGGGGTCTCCCTCGGGTTCCGGTTTGCTGGTGAACCAGCCCTGGAATCTTTCTCTACAGAAGAGACAGTCTGGGAAAACCCAGCCCAGACTTGGATGAGGCAGACGCTGGGGGCATTTTTGTCCATGGGTCAATTTTGTACCTTCTTTCTGCTCAAATGTGAAAATCCATCCAATGGGAGAGAAATGGAGTTGCCTTGTAAGGATTTGCTTTGGTCAACAATTTTGACAATCTGTCTTCCGTGTCTTTTCACTACTACACACTCAGCCATCTTTACCCATGTGTTATCCATCACATTGATGATTTGGACAGAAAAAAAAAATGATGGGCTTATATAAATATCTAGCTGATTTTACTATTAAACTTTCCTTCTGGCTGTTGAGCCCTTGAAGCATGGCTGGTCCACATTGAGTTGTGTGGCAATAGTGAAACACAGTGGATTACCAACACATCATGCAAAAAGAAAAAGAATATAAAATTCCTCATTGATCATTTTACATTAATCACATGTTGACATGATCATAGTTTGGATATATTGGGTTAAATTAACTATATTACTAAAGTTAACTTCACCTGTTTCTTTTTACCTTTTTAACTGATTATTATAGAAAATTCGAAGTTACGTAGAGCACGCTCACTACATGGCATTATATCACTTGCATTATTGGACATTGAGGTTCCAGAGCAGGGGCCAGCAAATGGCAGCTCACAGGTCCAGTCTGGCCCCACAACCTGTTTTTGTAAATAAACCTTTATTGGCATGTGGCCACGCCCACTTGTCTATACATCATCGGTGGCCTCTTTCACGCTACCACAGCAGAATCATGACAAGACACCATCTAGCTCATAAAGCTTAATTCATTTACCATCTGGCCCTTCACAGAGAAAGATTGCTGGCCCCTGGGACACATTAAGTGTGATTTTAAGCATCTTGTATGTTTGATGCTTAAGCATGTACTGTTTCCTGTTATTAATAATTTTTCCTGTTATTAATAATTTTATATAATTATGAACATATTTCCATTGATATATCAACATGTGTTGTTATTTACACACGTATGTACGAATACGTACGTGCATACATAAATATATTCATATACACCGCATGCTGTGTAAACGTTAACATAGCCATGAGGTAGTGAGATTATCAGCTAACCCCTAAACCCTGCAGGAGGAGTACCAGAGCGAAGGGATCTCATGGCACAACATTGACTACACTGATAACGTCGGCTGCATCCATCTCATCAGCAAGAAGCCCACGGGGCTCTTCTATCTGCTGGACGAAGAGAGCAAGTGAGTGTCCACGGCCCAGTTCCCCCTGCAGACCTGGTTCCCTAGCCCCTGGAGCCTCACCCTGAATCCACACCATCCCCAAGAACTTCTGAGTTTGTCACACTCATTTGGCCACAAATCCTGACCTCACGTTAGCAAAAGGCACATAGCATTTATCATGGAAGTATTAACATGTGCGATAACTCGATTCTGAAACACGCACACCCGGGAGTTGTTAAGAAAGGGACACGGGGCCTGAGTCTAGAAACTAGGCACGGGGTTGGTGCATGCTTGCGAAGGGCAACACATGGGATCGCGGGCCCAGATGCCACACTGACCACTAAGCCTGGCACCCCTCGTCCAGAGGACACCGTGAAGGCTGGAAGGGGTATGGATAAAGTGCCTCACCCCTGGTCACCCAGCCGCGGTCACTGAAGTTCACTCACTGAATTTGTTAACCTGCGGCTCCATTAATGACCACAAAGCACAGACAGCTTTTTTTTTTTT